ACTCCTCTCCTCTCCTCTCCTCTCCTCTCCACTCCTCTCCTCTCCTCTCCTCTCCTTCTGCTCTGTTGGGTCTCCCACGTTTAATCCCCCAACCCAAGGGCCATGGAGACGCACTCCGTCCTCCACTCTCAGCCTCACCTTCAGCTGCTCTTGCTTTGTCTCCCTGAAGGACTGACGGGCCCACGAGGGGAGCAAGGCAGCCCTGGCATCAACGGGCTCCCAGGGGAGAAGGGGCCCCAGGGGGAGTGTGCGGTGGCCCCCCGCTCGGCCTTCAGCGCCAAGCGCTCTGAGTCCCGCAGCCCACCACTGCCCGAGCAGCCCATCGTCTTTGACATCGTCCTGATTAACGAGCAAGGCCATTACGACGGCAACACGGGCAAGTTCCTCTGCCAGGTCCCGGGGCTGTACTATTTCGCCGTCCACGCCACCGTCTACCGGATGAGCCTCCAGTTCGACATCATGAAGAACGGCAAGTCGGTCGCCTCCTTCTTCCAGTTTTACGGCAACTGGCCAAAGCCGACGTCCCTGTCCGGGGGCAGCCTGGTGCGGCTGGAGCCGGGGGACGAGGTCTGGGTGCAGGTGGCGGTGGGCGAGTACACCGGCTTCTACTCCAGTGTGAAAACGGACAGCACCTTCACCGGGTTCCTCGTCTACTCCTACTGGCAAAACTCTCCCGTCTTTGCCTAAGAGGGAGCCCCGCGAGGGCCTGGAAAAGCCGGCGTCCTGAAGCCCCATGCTGCGGCCCTGGCTTTCGTCAGTGGCCACGCGTTCCTTCCTAACCCAAGGAGTGCAACGCTCCTTTAGATGACCCCGTGGGGATCAGGGGGTCCCCGTCAACCCCTGGTGGCCCGGGGCCCTGCAGAGAAGCCGAGGACCCCACCTTTCTCCAGCCTCGCCGTAATAACGACGGGAGCCCCATCCCACCTCTTTCTTCCCTGACCTCCGAAGCCCTCCAAAGGGCGGACGCGGCGCTTTTAGCCAATTCTTCGGCTCTCCGTTGAAAGCGAAAGAGGTTTGACTTCAAATCCCTCTTTTGCCAGGCCCCTTCCTAATTTGAGAGGTTCTTATGGGGAGGAGCAGCGGGAGCTGAAATCGTCACGATGGTGATTGAAATAACGGTGGCAAAACAGAGGTGTGCCATCTGAACCCCAGGGGTACAGTTGGCCCCCTGAAGAAGCCTTGGGGTGTGGCCCTCTCAGACCTCCAAAAGGTGACCATGGGGAAAATGATAGAAGATGTGAACTGGGGGATGCGTATTAAGTGTATTGAACTGTATTTCCATTTAATTGAAAACATCTGTGTCAATGAAAAAGCAAGCCGAACGGTTCCTTTGGTCTTGGCTCCGCACACATTTTGGAAGGTAGTCCCTGGAACGTGACTTGAATGCTGGTCTCGACCAAGGCGCAACCCTGCTTTAAAGCCACAGCCAGGCTGCGTTCACGGAGCACGCTTAACCAAGCCTACATTGGCACACTAGCCTTGGCTGGGTTCTGTGTATGTGTGCTTCCTAGTCTATTGGGCCAACCCAGTCTGGCTAGTTCATGGTTCCACGTTTTGCGCTACCCAGAAAATGGATGAATTCCATAATCAGATCAACTGCACGTGTGAAGGACCCGCTAGGGAGGAGTGGGCCCGTCCCCCCATTCTCCTCTCAGGGGGTCCTGCGTGTGCCAGGTGCGACCATCCTGTCCCACCAAAGCTGAAACGGGACAGCCTTGTTCCAGCCCTCCCCCAGAAGAGAAAGATTAGTTCCTGGGATCACTTTTGGGACCCAGAAGATGAACTGGCCATCATTGTCCTGGGCGGGTTTGCATCTTCGCACAGCTAGAAAATATGGGCTGGTTCAGAGACTGAATCGAAGTTCGCTTCAACCTCCCTCCCCCAGAATACACCCCAAAGGGTTGTGATTGCCCAACCCACCGAAGCCCCAGTGAGGCTAAGCTATCAGCCCGTAAGTATCCAACGTAAGCCAGTGTGACGTTGCGGGCATCGTGATGTCATTATGCAAATGCAATGAACGTGCAGTTTCCTCGGCATGATGTCACGACACACATGATGTCACTTGTCCCCTCCTGTGGAAACCCAGCCTTCAGCAGCACACCACGTGGAGGGTCCGTCCTAGCAGTGGTCAAGAGGAGAATGGCGAGGGAACTCTCAGTGTTTCTCAACCTTAGCAAATTTAAGACGAATGGACTTCAACTCCCAGAATTCCCCAGCCAGCCATGCTGGCTGGGGAGTTCTGGGAGTTGA